CTCTTCCCGCAGTCGGGGCACTCGGGGCTTCCATTACTGGTGGGTCCGTGGGTGGGAGGTCAAGGAAGAGCTCTGCCTGAAGCTCTTCCCACACTCCCCACAGTGGAAGGGCCTCTCCCTGATGTGGAGGCGATGGTGGGTGTAGAGGGTGGAGCTGTCCCACATTCCCTACACGTGTGGGGCTGTTCCCCAGTGTGGATGTGCTGGGGGCTGAGCAGCTTGGGGCTTGTGCTGAAGCTCTTCCCACATTCCAAGCACTTGTAGGGCCATTCCCTGGTGTGGATGCAACGGTGTTTGCAAAGGCTGGAGCTGTCCCTGAAGTTCTTCCCACACTCTGCACACGTGTAGGGCCTTCCCCACTGTGGATCATCTGGTGTCGGAGCAGGTGGGAGCTCCGTTTGAAGCTCTTCCCACATTCCCCACACATGTAGGGCCTTTCCCCACTGTGGATCATCTGATGGCTGAGGAGGTTGGAGCTCTGAGTGAAGCTCTTCCCACATTCCTCACACATGTAGGGCTTTTCCTTACTGTGGATCATCTGGTGTCGGAGCAGGGTGGAGATCCGATTGAAGTTCTTCCCACATTCCTCACACATGTAAGGCCTTTCCCCACTGTGGATCATCTGGTGAGTGAGGAGGTGGGAGCTCTGAGTGAAGCTCTTCCCACATTCCTCACACGTGTAGGGCCGTTCCCCGGTGTGGATGTGCTGGTGCCTCAGGAGGTGAGCACTCCTGCTGAAGCTCTTCCCACACTCCCCACACCTGTAGGGCCTTTCCCCACTGTGGATCATCTGGTGTCGGAGCAGGTGGGACTTCTGATTGAAGCTCTTCCCACACTCCCCACATGTGTAGGGTCGTTCCCCAGTGTGGATGTGCTGGTGCTTGAGGAGGTCAGTGCTCTTGCTGAAGCTCTTCCCACATTCCAAACACCTGAAGGGCTTTTCCCTGCTGGGAGGCTGCTCAGGGACCACCAGCTCGCAGCTCCGCCTCAAGCTCCGGCCGCCTTCCCGGCACACGCTGGCTCTTTCCTCCTCACAGCCCCCTGGGCTGGCTTTGGAGCCCCTCCTGCGGGGGCATCTCCGGCCCTTTTCCTCCCCGCTGCCTTCCTGCGCCAGGGAGCCCTTCAAAACGGCCTCTCCCACCAGGCTCTGCTGCCGGGATTTGTCTTCCGCGCTCTCCGGCCTCACCTCGGGGCCTGGGGCAGGAAGCAACAAGGACACGCAGGGGATTTACCTCCGGCCCACAGGGAAGCCCAAGGACATCCCCCCAACTCCGGCCCCGGCAGGACGGCCACAAAAGACAAAAGACCGACCCAAAGGGGCACTGACTTCCTCCTCACCTGCCTGGGGGGCCTGCGGCATCTTCCTCTTCCTCGCAGCCTCCTCCTCCATCTGCCCGAGTTAGGGAAGCAGAAATCCTGCTGGGGGGGAAAACAAAGGGTTAGCGCGTTGCCCAAGTCCAGCTCTAGGACTCATTGGGCATCTTGGGTATGTGAAAACCTCCAAAACACCAACATTCAGCCCAAAAACCCCTCCCAGGAGTTCCGCCTCTCTGCTCTCTGGGGTTAGGGGGGTCCCCCCTGTCTGGCCTGATGGCACTTCTGCCTGCATTGGGGGTCCCCCTTCTCCAGGCTGCCGGGGGTCCCGCGGCTCCGGGGGGTTCCCACTCTCTGGGGTCCCCTTGAGTGTTGCCAGGGGGGTCCCAGGGCTCACTTCTCCCCACTCTGCCTCCCGGGGCCGGCCGGCCCTCCTCTCTCGCCTCCCTCCCTCGCAAACCTCTTGGCGCTCTCGGCTCCCACCCCGCCTCAAGGCCCCCCCTCCTCTCCACACTCCAAGGCCTTCCCCCTCTCCGGGACCCCCGCTTAAGGGGCCCGGCGCTCCCTCTCTGCTCCCCCCCTCCAACATTCCGGGGGTCCCCCAGCTCCGGGATCGCCCCTCTCCGCTCTCCCCACTCCGCGGCTACCGCGGCTACCATTGCTGAGCCACTTTTGGCGGGTTTCCTCCTCCGGGATCCGCCCCCTGCAGCCCTTCCCCCCCTGGCCCAGCCCCCTTGGGCCCCCCTTGGGCCCCCCTTGCCCAATAAGTCTGATTATACAGACAAGCAATTGGTTTTAATCCACAAAACCCAAATGTAGAACCCAGCACCCTGGACCATGAACAAAGTGCTGTTCCTTGGGCCTCCCCCCAGTCCAAAGTAAAAGGAGAAGGAAAAACCTGCTGGTGGGAGAGTTGTTGCAGTCTGGTCAAAAGTGGTGGTTGCAGTCCAGTTCAGGATGGTGGTCTCAGGCTGGTTGAGAGCGGTGAGCTGCAGTCCTCCTCTGGATCCCACGAGTGGTAAAAAGGTTCCGAAACTCCAGGTTTATATATTCTCCAGTTCAGGCAGGAATGCCCAGTCCTCCCCTCACAGCGGGCAATTCCATAAAAGGATGTTTAGTTTTTCTTTCAGAGCAGGGAATTCCATAAAAGGCTATGAGGATGCTCAGTCCATAAAAGGGTATGAGGGTGCTCAGGACATCCCCCCCACCTGGCAGGCCTCTCCTGACAACAGTTCCTGGGAAAATGGCATGGAAGGCCAGAGAATCCACAGTTTTGGGCTACACCCATCCAGTGAGGAATCGGTCCCAGCTGTTCTAACTAGGACACTGTGTCCGTCATCGCTGCCATCATCATCATCGGCCTCCTGGGAGTCGGTGTCTGGAAGCTCCGATCCGGTAACTCCCGGGATGGGGGTCGGGAAGGGGCACGGATCCGCCCGGCAGCATTCCGGGGATCCTGTGCCACGGGTGCTGATCCTGCTTTCTTTCCATAGGTAAGAGGGAGGGCAATGGATACGACCCCGCGCCCACCAGTGAGTCCCAGCAGCGTGTGTGGATCCAGATCCTCTGGGCAGGGATCCCAGGATGGAGGTCGGGATTCCAGAGGGGAATGGGGGCCTAATGTCTGGAGTGGGATTGGAAGGGGATTCCAGCTCAGGGCAGGATTCCAGAGTGGGATCAGGTGGAACTGTGGACTGGGATCAGGGCTGGATTCTGGAGTGGGATTGGGGTGGGATGGACAGAGCAGGATCAGGTGGGATTCTGGAGCAGTTCCTACTCTCCCTGGGCTCCACAGCCGGCTCCATCCCCTGGGATGGGAACAGGGACATGGTGACTCCTTTCCCCGCTCTCATCCCAGCAGGAATCACAGCCTGAGCGATCCTGGAGCTGGATCCGCCCCTTCCCTCTCCCTGCGGAAAGGCAGGAGCTGCTGGCAGAGCTCATCCCGCTGCTCCCACCCACCCGGCCCCCCTGCGGCTCTTCCCGATGGATCAACTTCCTGCTTTTTCCCGTGTGAAACCCAGGACCACAATTATTCCTGAGGCTTTAATTTGGGTGTGAAAATCTCCTGCTTTGGGCAATAAATCCTGGCTCCCTCCTCCGGCATCCGGCAGTTCCTCTGTGGGAACCAGGAATAGGAATGGGGACAGGGGGGACTGGGATGGGGACATTGGGGACAGGGATGGGGACACTGGGAGCAGGTTGGGGACAGCAGGAATGGGAATGGGAACTCCAGGAATGGGAATGGGGACATTGGGAGCAGGTTGGAGTCACCAGGAATGGGAATTGGGACACCAGGAATGGGAATGGGGACATGGGAGACCAGGATAGGGATAGTGGGGACAGGAACGGGGACACTGGGAGCAGGTTGGCACAGCAGGAAGTGGGAATGGGGAGAGGGATGGGAACCCCAGGAATGGGAATGGGGAGAGAGATGGGAACCCCAGGAATGGGAATGGGGACAGGGATGGGAACGTGTCTCTCCAGGAGTTGGTTCAATACAAAGGTCGGTCCCTGGCTCGAGGCCACGGGAAGCCCCTTCTTTGGGAATGTCTGGGAAGCAGGTGTCAGAGGTTTGAAAGGAAGTGTTGGAATTGTTTCCCAGTGTCCCCCCCATTGCCATCTGTGTCTCCCGGGATGGGGTGGGTTGGAGCGGAGCCGCAGGCGCTGGGCAGGGGCAGTGGGGGGAGGGCGGCTCTCGGGGACACCGCGGTGGCCGCGGGGAGGGCGGGGGGTCCTTTGTTCGGGGGCTTTTAAGGTTTGTCCGGGACCGGACAGAGCGGGAGCTGGTTTTGGCCACCTTGTTCTCTTTTCCTGAGAGGAAGATTTTTCCCACCGGGACACCTCGTGGAGAGCGACCGAGAGAGAGAGAGAGAGAGAGAGAGAGAGAGAGAGAGAGAAAGAGAGAGAGAGAGAGAGAGCCCGACCCATCTGGGAGCGAGGTGTTCTGCTTTGGGGACTGCCCCTGGGAAAAGGGACTCCTTCACTGCTGGCTGCGAGCACACGGGGCTGAGAGAGCTTTGAACTGCCGGGACAGTTTCTCCCCCCCACCTGCGGATTTGGGACTTTGTTTGGTTTCTTCTGAAAGTTTTTGGTTGCACCATTTGTTGTTTATTCAGATTTTGTTAATAAAAAGCTGTTTCTTTTCCTTTTCCACACTTCCACCAGAAGTCTCTTAATTTCTAAGTTGTAATCTTGTTTAACTAAGACCCAGTACAACCAAAAATGCCGGGAAAAGGGGGATTGGGCATCCTCAGCCCCCCATCTCCCTCTTGTTTGGGGCAACTCTGAGCTCCGGGACAAGTTATCCTCTGTTTGCGGTTGCCCTGAGCTTTGGGAGCCCTGGCTGGGCACTTTTGGTGGGCCCTGAGCTCCCCCCTCCCCCACGGACCCCCCCGAACCCCCCAGCCCCGGGGCTGCCGCGGGGGCCCCCAACGGCCCTCAGCCAATCCCAAAGCGCCCACGCCGCCCGCGCCCAATCCCCGCGCGCCGCGCTGATGACTCATCAGTCGCCGGGAAGACGCCTCGAAAAAAGGGCCCCACCTGCGCCCTCAGCCAAGCCCAGCGCGCCCCAAACCCCCCAAAACGGCGCCGCCCGGCTGGTTTGGGGCTGTCAGCAGCTGTCCGGCGCTGGGCATGGAGCGTGTGCGGGGAGCTGGGGCCGTGCTGGCGGTGCTGGTGGTGCTGGGAGCCCCCCCGGCTGCGGGCGAGGAGCTGTCGGGTGAGCGGGGGGGGCAGGCAGGGGGGTCGGGTGGGAAAGGGGGGGAAAGACGGGAGAAAAGAGGGGGTGGGAGCCCCAGAAGTGAGTGGGAGGGGGGTTGGAAGGCCCGGAGTGAGTGGGAGGGTGGTGGGAGCCCCAAAGTGAGGTTGGGGGTTCTGGGGATTGTGTGGACATTGGGAAAGAGTTGGGAGAGAGGGGCAAGAGGATGTGGGAGAGCAGGCAGAGGGGTGCCCTGGGTGTCCCTGGGTGTCCCTTGATCCCTGGAGCGGTTCCCTGAGGCTCTGGGGGGATCAGATCAGCAGTGGGGGGTTCCCAACCCCCCTGTCCATCCCCGGTGGGCTGATGGAGGGGTTCCCCCCCAGCCAAGCGCCGGTGCTGGGCCGTCCGTGGGGCAGAGGGGGGTTGGAAAGGGGGGTCCGGGGTGGCCCCCTGAGCTCCCAGCCTGCTGTGGGGGGCTGGGGGATGATGGGGGGGACGGGGTACCCCCTGACCCGTGTCCTGCACACACAGGGGTGTTCCAGCACATGGCAAAGTGCGAGTGTTACTTCATCAACGGCACCGAGCAGGTGAGGTTTGTGCAGAGGTTCGTCTACAACCGGGAGCAGTTCATACACTTTGACAGCGATGTGGGGTCTTTGTGGGGGACACCCCGTATGGGGAGATGCTGGCCAGGTACGGGAACCGGATGCAATCGGATATGTCTGTCTGTCACGTATTGGCCTCATAAGTCACCAGCGTGCCTGTATCGAATGTGGATAGAGCCTTCCCAAATCTTCGTTCGCGAAGCCCAGCCATGACATGACGTGACCTGACGGGAACCGGAACCAAGAATGGATGGAGCACATACGGGCTGGGGTGGACAGGTACTGCCTGCGCAACTACAAGTGTTTCACCCCCGTTCAGCGTTGAGAGGAGAGGTGAGCATGGGGCAGAGCGGGTCCCCTCGGCCTCTGCACCGGGAATGACCCTGGAGCCCCTTAAACCCTCCCTGCGAATCACCCCAGACCCCTCAGCCTTCCCTGTGCCCATCCCGTCGCATTTTGCCAACTGTCAGTTCCTCCCAGTCCATCCCAGTCTCTCCCAGTGCCCCCCCGCGTCTCCACCCCGCTGGGACCACCGACCTCACGCCCCTCAGCCAATCCCAGCGCGTCTCTCTGATGACGCTCCAGTTGCCAGGCGGACCCAAACCAAAGACTTCCCTCACCACGACTCAGCCTCCCAGGCCCGATCGCTTCCTTCCCAGTCCACACCAGTCATTCCCAGTTCTTCCCAGACCCTCTCACTCCACTCCCAGACTCTCTCAGTCCCTTCCCAGTTGTTCTCACTTCACTCCCACATCTCCCAACTCTCTCCCCAGTGCCCCCCAGGCCATGCCCTTCTCCCCCAGTCTATTCCCAGTCCCTCCCAGTGCCATCCCAGTCCCTCCCAGTGCCATCCCAATCCCTACCAATGTCCTACAAGCCCTCTGCCCTCCCTCCCAGTGCCCCCCAGTTCAGCCCAGTGTCTCCCCCGTCCCTCCCAGTGCCCCCCAGCGTGTCCATCTCGCTGGTGCCATCGAGCTCCCAGCCCGGCCCCGGCCGCCTGCTCTGCTCCGTGATGGATTTCTACCCTGCGCCGGTGCAGGTGAGGTGGTTCCAGGATGGGCAGGAGCTGCCGGAGCACGTGGTGGCCACCGACGTGGTCCCCAATGGGGACTGGAGCTACCAGGTGCTGGTGCTGCTGGAAATCCCCCCCCGTCGCGGGGTCACCTACAGCTGCCAGGTGGAGCACGTCAGCCTGGAGCACCCCCTCAGCCGGCACTGGGGTACGGCCCGGCCCCCCCAGCACCGGGGGCACACTGGGGGCGACTGGGAGGGAGTTTGGTGGGTGCTGAGGGTGATGGGAGGGGGGTTGGAGGGTCCTAAAAGGGTCTGGGAGGGGCTGGGTGGGATCCCTGCAGGGGCTGGGAAGGGACTGGTAGGAGGTTTGAGGGACCCCCGGGTGGGCTGGGGGAGAGCGGGCCGGGCTCTGTGGGGTGCCGGGGGGTGCGTGGGAGGAGGTTTTGGGGATGCTGACCCCCCCGGCTCCCCCCAGAGATGTCACCGGACACCGTCCACAGCAAGATCCTGGTGGGGGTCGGGGGCTTCGTCTTGGGCTTGGTCTTCCTGGCGCTGGGGCTCGGCTTCTACCTGTGGGAGAAGGTAAAGGGGGGTCCCCAAATGGGGGTCGTGTTCCCCCCCTTGCTCTCCCACAGCCTCTGGGCCCCCCCTGCCCCCCCACCCCGCTCTCACCCCCTTTTCTCTCCCCACAGAGCTCCTGAGCCGCCGGCGGCCGCAGCCCCTCCCCGTGGCCTCGGGCCCAGCCGGGACCCCCCAGTCCAGCCCCTCCCACACTTTGCGGGGGTCGTGTGTCCCCCAAGCCCTGCTTTTGTTTGTATTCAAACCTCTGCCGGCTGCTCCCAGTGATCCCAGTAAAGCTTCCCAGTTCTCTGCAGTCCTGATTATTGGTGAGAACTGGAGGGGCTGTGAAAATCCCAGGAACGGGCAGTTTGGGCACTCCCAGACAAAAAGAACACTGGAGAAAGGTGGTTTGGGCACATCTAGAGCTCAAAAATCTGGGGAACAGGGAATTTGGGCACTTTCAGCTCCACAAATATTGGAAAAGAGAGGTTTGGGTGCCATCGGTGTCTGAAAAACCCAGGAACAGGGGGGTTGGGAACATTCATACTCCTAGAAACATGGGGATCTGGGCTCTCCTAGACCCTAAAAATCCCAAGGACAGGGTGGTTGGGGCACTTCCAGACCCAAAAATCTTGGAAAAGAGGGGCTTGTACACACCCAGACTCCATCAAAATCCCAGGAACTGGGGGTTTGGGCACAATCAGGGTGACAAAATCCTGGGAACAGGGGTCTCCCAGCCCCAAAAAATCTTGCAAAAGAGAGGTTTAGATTCTCCCAGAAACCCAAAATTGTGAAAAAAGAGGGGCTTGGGCACTCCCAAACCCACAGAATCCTGGATGAAGGTGATTTGGGCACATCCAGACCCCCAAAATCCCTGGAACAGGGGGGTTGGGGCGCTCACAGAGTCAGAATACCCAAATTTCTGGGAACAGGGGGAGCATTGGGCAATGTGAGCCTCCCAAAAACAGAGGAACAGGGGGTTCCCAGACCCCAAGAATCCTGGGAACAGCAGGTGTGGAGCACCCCCAGAGCCCCAAAATCTTGGTCAAAGGGCTATTTGGGCAGACCCCACCCAAATGGGGAGAAGCTCCAGGCCCCCAAAAGTCCTGGAAAGAGGGATTTGGATAGAATCAAAAATCCGGGAATTGGGCACCCTCAGCTCCTCATCTGCCTCTTGTTTTGGGCAACTCTGAGCTCCGGGACAACTTCATCCTCTGTTTAAGGTTCACTTGAGCTCCAGGAGCCCTGGCTGGGCGTTTTTGTATTTCCCTGAGCTTTGGGAGCCCTGGCTGAGCATTTTTGGTGGGCCCTGAGCTCCCCCCTCCCCCGCAGCCCACGGACCCCCCCGAACCCCCCAGCCCCGGGGCTGCCGCGGGGGCCCCCAACGGCTCTCAGCCAATCCCAAAGCGCCCACGCCGCCCGCGCCCAATCCCAGCGCGCCGCGCTGATGACTCATCAGTCGCCGGGAAGACGCCTCGAAAAAAGGGCCCCAACTGCGCCCTCAGCCAAGCCCAGCGCGCCCCAAACCCCCCAAAACGGCGCCGCCCGGCTGGTTTGGGGCTTTCAGCAGCTGTCCGGCACTGGGCATGGAGCGTGTGCGGGGAGCTGGGGCCGTGCTGGCGGTGCTGGTGGTGCTGGGAGCCCCCCCGGCTGCGGGCGAGGAGCTGTCGGGTGAACGGGGGGGGGCGGGTAGGGGGGTGGGGTGGGAAAGGGGGGGCAAGAGGGGAGAAAAGAGGGGTTGGGAGCCCCAGAAGTAAGTGGGAGGAGGGTTGGAAGTTTCGGAATGAGTGGAAGGGGGGTGGGAGCCCCAAAGTGAGGTTGGGGGGGTCTGAGGATTGAGGAGACGGTGGGAAAGGGGTGGGAGAGGGGGACAAGGGGGTGTGGGAGAGCAGGCAGAGGGGTGCCATGGGGGTCCCTGGGTGTCCCTTGAGCCCTGGAGCGGTTCCCTGGGGCTCTGGGGGGTGGGATCCGCAGTGGGGGGGTCCCCAACTGCCCTGTCCATCCTCGGGGGGCTGATGGGGTGGTTCCCCCCCAGCCAAGAGCCGGTGCTGGGGCATCTGTGGGGCAGAGGGGGGTGGGAAAGGGGGGTCCGGGGTGGCTGCCTGAGCTCCCAACCTGCTGTGGGGGGATGGGGAATTATGGGGGGGGACGGGCCACCCCCTGACCCGTGTCCTGCACACACAGGGGTGTTCCAGCTAATGACAAAGTCCGAGTGTTACTTCATCAACGGCACCGAGCGGGTGAGGCTCGTGAAGAGGTACATCTACAACCGGGAGCAGTATGCCCGCCTCGAGATCGATTTGGGGACCTATGTGGAGGACACCCTGTTTGGGGAGAAGGTTGCCAGGGAATGGAACCACCTCCCGGAATGGCGGGAGCTCAAATGGTCTGAGATGGAAAGGTTCTGCAGGCACAACTACGAATTCTCCACCACACTCCTGGTCAACCGCAGAGGTGAGCGTGGGGCAGAGCGGGTCCCCTCAGCCCCTGCCCCGGGAATGACCCTGGAGCCCCTCAAACTCTCCCTGAGAATCACCCCAGACCCCTCAGCCCTCCCTGTGCCATCCCAATCCCTCCCAATGTCCTACAAGCCCTCTCCCCTGTCTCTGCCAGTGCCCCCCAGCTCAGCCCAGTGTCTCCCCCGTCCCTCCCAGTGCCCCCCAGCGTGTCCATCTCGCTGGTGCCGTCGAGCTCCCAGCCCAGCCCCGGCCGCCTGCTCTGCTCCGGGATGGATTTCTACCCTGCGCCGGTGCAGGTGAGGTGGTTCCAGGATGGGCAGGAGCTGCCGGAGCACGTGGTGGCCACCGACGTGGTCCCCAACGGGGACTGGAGCTGCCAGGTGCTGGTGCTGCTGGAAATCCCCCCCCGGCGCGGGGTCACCTACAGCTGCCAGGTGGAGCACGTCAGCCTGGAGCACCCCCTCAGCCGGCACTGGGGTACGGCCCGGCCGCCCCAGCACCGGGGGCACACTGGCAGGGGGGCCGGGGGGAAAGGGGCAACTGGGGGCGACTGGACAGGAGACTGGGGGGGAACAGGAAGGGCTCAGGGGGCAATGGAGAGGCTGATAAGGAGGTTGGTGGGCGCTGGGAGGGCAGAGAGGGGCTTTGGGTAGTCCTGGGGGCAACTGGGAGGGAATTTGCAGGAGTGGTCTGGAAAGCCTGGAAGGAAGTTTGTGAGGTCTTGGGTTGACTGAGAGGGGTTCTGAGAAGTCCTGAGGGGGATGGGAAGGGACTGGGAGTAATTTTGGGGGGGCCCTAGGGGTGATGAGAGCGGGGATAGAGGATCATAAAGGAGATGGGAGGGGCTTGGTGGGATCGCAGAGGGGCTGGGAAGGGACTGGCAGGAGGTTTGAGGGACCCCCGGGTGGGCTGGGGGAGAGCGGGCCGGGCTCTGTGGGGTGCTGGGGGGTGCGTGGGAGGAGGTTTTAGGGGTGCTGACCCCCCCGGCTCCCCCCAGAGATGCCACCGGACACCGTCCGCAGCAAGATCCTGGTGGGGGTCGGGGGCTTCGTCTTGGGCTTGGTCTTCCTGGCGCTGGGGCTCGGCTTCTACCTGCGGGAGAAGGTAAAGGGGGGTCCCCAAATGGGGGGCATGGCCCCCCCTTGCTCTCCCACAGCCTCTGTGCCCCCCCTGTCTCCCCACCCCACTCTCACCCCCTTTTCTCTCCCCACAGAGCTCCTGAGCCACCGGTGGCCGCAGCCCCTCCCCGTGGCCTCGAGCCCAGCCGGGACTCCCAAACCCTGCCCTGATTTGGGGGGGTCGCCTGTCCCCCCCATCCCTGCTTTTGTTCTCACCCCACCCAGCTGTTCCCAGTGTTCCCAGTAAAGCTTCTCAGTGCTCTGCAGTCCTACTCACTGGAGAGAAGGGGCTGGGGGTGACTTGGGGGGAAACCGCGGGGGGAGCAGAGTTTGAGAGGGGCAGAACCAGCCCCAGGATGGATCGGGAATGGGGAACCCCCTGAGTCCTCCACGTGTCACCCTGTTCATGGGGGGGTTGTGGGGGCATCTGCACCCCAACAGGGCACCCAGCGCACCCCAAGAGGTGCCAGGACCCACGTAAACCCCGTAACAGAGGTGCTGGGAATCCCAAATTCAGTGGCAGGGGAGTGGTACCCCCCAAAGGAGGATGGGGGTGAGACAGGACTGAGGAGTGGAGAATGATGGGAAAGGGGTGGGAGAGGTCAGAAAGGTGGGGAAAAGGAGGATGTGGGACATCAGCCCATCCCCAGCTCCCTGCACACAGTGAAGCTTCCCAGTTCTCTGCACTCCTGGTGACTGGGGAGAAGTGGGGGGGATTCAAAAATCCTGGCAACAGGAGGGTTTGGACACTCCCTGACCCCGAACTATCACAAAAGAGGGATGTGGACACCCCTAGACTCCAGAAATCCTGGAACAGGGGGGTTTGGATATTCTCAGACCTTAAAAATCCTGGGAACAGGGGGGGTTGGACACTCTCAGAACTACAAAATCCTGGAGAAAGGTGGTTTAGGCACATGCCGTGTATCAGGGAGGGAAAAGGTCCCAGAGATACTGGAAGGTGAAAAACTAGACACCGTTGCTACTTAGGAAAGTAACTATTTATTATGAAAGGTGGCTAACAGTGAAAACATAGGCACTCAAGAGAAAGGGATTAGGGAGGAGAAAAGTGAACAAAAAGACCCTAAAAGGAAGGCACAGCACCCTACTCACCCAGGTGTCACCTATAAGAGAGTCTTACCCACTCTAACCACTTCTGAAGCCTCTCTGCAGCAGCTGCGTGTTCCGGAGGGCTGGCAGGCTCCCACTCCAGCAGGCGTCCCCGCTAAAAGCAACTTGGTCCTTTGTGTAGAGCCGGCCCCCAACACGGAAAACGTGTCTGCTTTCATACAGTTCATTGAGCACACCTGCCCGGGGAGGGGTGGCCAGCACCGCCCCGTCAGGGGTTCCCAATCCCACCCCCTTGGTTATGTCAGTGCCCCCCTTCTGTGCATGGGTGAGAACTTTGGAAATCCCCTCACGCAGGCACAGTGAGTCCTGGGGGTCTTTCCCAATTGAGTCTGGGTCGAGCCTTCCTCACCTCATCATCACTTTCTCCTCCAAATGCCCTTGACGAGCCAGTAACCAATCACAGGAGACCAATTAAAACAGTTTATACAGAAGTTCTCCCTCCAAGGGCAAATTTAGTGTTTTATCAGTGAACTTGGCAGGAAGAACTGTAAACTACTGCAGGTGGCTAAGGCCAAACACAGACCAAAAATATCATCACAACTCCATCCCAGTACAAGGGCTCTGAGACAGAGAAGGGATGAGAGCCGGGTACAGGCTTGGGAATTACTGGGAGGGGAAAGGGATGTCGAAGAACAAGTCCCTCAGGAGAGGGAAGCAGAGAGGCTGAGTTTTGACCCCAGCACAAAGATGTGCAGGGCAGAGCAGAGAATATGCCCACATAAGATTCTTGTGGGTCCGTCTTTGCAGTTCTGACAGGCACTTCTTGTCACAGCCTGTCCTCTCCATTCCAGAATAGGCCCTGGCAACCAAAGAACCAACACCCCACACCATAGTGCAGACCAACCCATGTGCTTTGGGCCCTTTTATTGTCCTATTCATTCTGGCCTATCCTCTCCATTCTGGAATAGCCTCTGGAAACCAAAGAACCAAGCCCCCACCATGTGACAGTTCAACCCCATCCGTGTGCCAAGGGCTCCTTTGTGCTGTCACAGCCTGTCCTCTCCATTCCAGAATGGGCCCTGGCAACCAAAGAACCAACGCCCTACAACCCCAAAGTGAAGCCCCACCTTTGTGCCATGGGCCCTCTTGTGATGTCACGGCCTATCCCCTCCATTCCAGAATGGCTGCTGGAAACCAAAACACCAATGTCTCACAGCCCCCAGTGCAGCCCAACCCCTGTGCCATGGGCCCCTTTGTGATGTCACAGCCTGTCCTCTCCATTCTGGAATAGCCTCTGGCAACCAAAGAACCAACACCTCACACCCCCACAGTGCAGCCCCACCTGTCTGCCACGGGACTCTTTGGGATGTCACGGCCTTTCCCCCAGGAAAGAAAGCCTGGAACCTTCGGGTTTCAGATGCAGTTGGGGGGCCACCCTGGGCACTCCATGGGCAGCAAGAGCTTTCTGTGCTGGTCCTTTTTGTCTGGCAGGAATCTTCAGCTGTGTTCAGTTTGGGCAGTCAGACTGCCAATTTCAGCACAGGGCTCCTGCAAGTGAACGACAGCCCTTCCCTCCAGGAAAGAAACCCCTTACCCTTGGTCTCTTCTCCTGTTCCCTAAAACACAACCTGCAGGGGAGCTTTCTGGGATCTCTTCTCTTGGGAATTGGGAAGACAGACCCACTCCCATGTTTAACACCTCAGGCAAAACCACCCTTTGAACACCTTTCCCAACCCTCCCCAACCTTTCCCAAGGCCCGATTTTACAGGTGTCCTGTAATTCTGGCCCAATCTCACCCAAGCCCACAAACCAGGACAGACACCTCTCAGCCTCACGCTGCGTCCTTCCCATTGCTGTGCCTTATGTGCAGGCAAAAGGCCTTAAAATCAAGGACCCAAAATTCATGGCCTGTTCTTTTTCCCAGAAAAGAAGGCGTGGTGAACTCTCCAGACCAGGGAATTGGAAGATCTCCCCAAAACTCCTTTGGTACACGCTGCAGGGCCAACGATTCCTCTGCTCTGCCCTGTCGGCGCTGCTTTGTCTCATCTGGGTCCCCAGAAACTGTCAGCGAAAGCCGGGGAATAAAATCTCTGAGCAGTTGGTTGGGTTCCAGAGGTGACCCTACTTCATTCAGTGCTGAAGGGACACAGGAATTGCTCTCTAACACCTGTACATCAGTTCTCAAAACTCTTAACAATTTCTACATTTTAGCAGACAAAGAAATTCCTGTCCATTGACTTACCAGTTCTCTGCAGGAATTCTTCTTCTCTCTTCCATTGGCTCTTGATTTCTCAATTTGCATGATACTTAGTCCACAGTTTTTGTCCTTTTCTTGTCTTTTCCCTGGATAGAGAGAGCCTCAGTAACTGTGTTAGTTTTGTCTTCATCTCTGGTTTCTCTATGGGTCTTTGTGGTTTAGAAATTCTGCCTTCTTGGTGTCCAGGTCTCAAAAAGAGATTTCTCTGCCGGTTCTCTGAAATATGGCAGGCCCTAAACTTTTACTTTGTTTTTCTAACAAATGGCCATGGCCCAGAACTTGTCCATCATCCATTGTCTATTGCCCCCATTCAATCTCCTGCCAGCACTTTCTCCCCACTGCTGGGTGGGCTCCTTTGTCAAGCACTAGAACTTGTTGGGTAACAGGCCCAGTCCTGTTGCCTATTTTTCGTGGGGATGTGCAGGAGGGCATTGAGTCTTCCAGGAGCAAATTGGCAGAGGACCCCAAGTTGGCTTGCAGTGTGGATGTGCTGGAGGGTAGGAAGGCTGTGCAGAGGGACCTGGACAGGCTGGACCTCTGGGCCGAGCCCGTGGGCATGAGGTTCAAGAGTGCCTTTGGTGCCTTTGGGGCCTCTGGCCACAAGAACCCCCTGCAGCTCCAGGTCGGGGGCAGAGGAGCTGCAAAGGGTCCCCATGGGAGAGGTCCTGGGGGTGCTGGTGGACAGAGGCTGAACCTGAGCCAGCGGGCGCCCGGGTGGGCAAGAAGGCCAAGGGCAGGCTGGCCTGGATCAGAAAGAGTGTGGCAGCAGGAGCAGGGAAGTGATGCTTCTGCTGGACTGGGCACTGGTGAGGCCACAACTGGAGTGCTGTGTCCAGCTCTGGGCCCCTCAATTCAGGGAGAACCTTGAGGGGCTGCAGTGGGTGGAGAGCAGGGCAATGGAGCTGGGCAAGGCTCTGCAGTGCATGGCCTGTGAGGAGCAGCTGAGGGAGCTGGGCTTCTCCAACCTGGAGAAGAGGAGGCTCGGGGCTGACCTTCTCCCTGTCCACAACTTCCTGACAGGAGGCTGGAGCCAGGTGGGGGTCAGCGCCTTCTCCGAGGCAACAGGCGACAGGACAAGAGGACACGAGGACCTGCCTGTCAGGGGCTGTTTGTCAGGGACAGGAGCAGGACTTTTTGGAGAGAAACAGGGATTGGGTATTGAAATGGGCTGCCCAGGGAGGTGGTGGAGTTACCGTCCCTGGAGGTGTTTAAGCAAAGACTGGCCATGGCACTGAGTGCCGTGGTCTGCTTGACGTGCTGGGGATGGGGCGTAGGCTGGACCCCGGCTGATCTCCCAAGTCTCTGCCAAGCTCAGGGACTCTGGGCTTCTGTGCCAGCCCAGCCTTTGGGGACAGCGTGCTGGTGGCTCCGAGGCTCCGTCCTTGCCTTGCCTTGCCCATCTCCTGGCTGCCAGGCAAGGGCCTTGTGACATCACAGCCTCTGTGGAACAGCGCGGGGGCTGAAAACTGTCAGTGCTGCGTCCCCGTGCCCAGAGCCTGGGCAGAAGTCGGCTGGCAGGGACGGGCAGAGACTGTGCAGAGGTGTCAGCTTGTCCCGCAGCAGCACGATGCCCAGCCAGGGCATCTCCTGTGTTATAAGTAAAACTAGGAAATTTGCTGTTCAAAAGAGTTAATAATGTTGTTGTATCCTACTAACCACATTGTTAAGAGTCATAAGTGATTTAATTGTGAAATCTCTAACCACGAGTTTGTTAACACAACGCAGAATGACTTGGTATTTTAAAGATGTTTGTTATAAGCATATTAATAGGTACTAATATGGAGGGCAAGCCACGAGGAGTCCTATGATTAGATGACATCTACCGATGGAAAATTCCAGGACCACGGCCACATAGAGACTAAGGACTTTGATATTATTGGTGGAAGCCCCTCAGCAACGGCAAAGACCCGC